TATTATAGTAGTGGCAGAGAGAATCATGAAAAGAACCCAAATTACACAAGATGCAGCCATGTAAAAACATTTTTGAAATATCCGACCTGCCTGGCTCGAACAGGCGACCTCAAGATGAATTTATCCATTACAGTCTCGCGCTCTTCCAACTGAGCTAAGGTCGGCTAGTGATAATGTGTAACATCACCAACGTGCCAAAACTTGAGCTTGACAGTGACACACTCGGTTAGAACGCCGTAGACTTCAGCATGGCCTTCCCACTTCGTCTAGCAAGACTTTTCGCAGCTTTGGGTCTTTTATTGGTGGTGCACCTCCTCTTATCCACATCACCGGAGACGACCCCATCCTCGATCTCAGAATACCAGGGATATAATGTGCTCCAGAGAGTTACTGGGCTGGACAAGACTCTAAATGCTCAGAAACACAAATTCATGCAATGGAGGATAGGGAGGGACCCCAGGCCGGACATTTTTGACGATTTGATAGCTGGTGGTGTCAGAGACTATTGGGGGCGATTCCAGGTGCCGTTGTGAGTGGTAGATCTAGGAGATGTGTTCCTTAACGCTTAACCCTGACAACTGTTTAGCATCACTGCAAAGGAGACCAGTCACGCAGATGTTCAGAACGTCCTCGGCGCCGTGGAAAGCCTACTTTCACTGAATGGCTGGGTTGCCGCTTACTGTCCGACCTTGATTCGACCCTTCGGACAAAACAAAAACATTGATGACGACGCCTACGACGACCTTGCCAAAGAAGACCGACTCTACTATATAGCCCTAGCCATTCACTCAGCGGACCATTTTCTTGTCGACCAACTTGCTGTCATCGTCCAGTTGGCGAAGCGTCTCGGTACTTCCAACCTATTCGTCTCGATGCTGGATTATGGCTCTACAGACTCTACATCCAATCTCACAGATCTCTGTGAAGCAGTGTTAACTCTCCTTGGCGTGCCTTTCCGAATTCGCCGCGTCCCATCGATGACCGAGGACCCTGCTGCTGCCTACTACCCTTTAGAAGAGGCCTATATGCGAAACCTCGTCCTAGAGCCGCTTTTAGAGCTACGCGAGAAGCGACAGATTGCCTTCTACCGGGTAATCTGGCTCAAGGGATTTACCTGCCCTAACGATATTTTGGAGACTTTGAGAGTTAGCATTGCCAACGAAGCTTCTATGGTGTGCGGAATGGATTGGGCTGAGTCCAGTGGCCAGTTCATCTTTTCTGATAGGTGAGATAAGACGAGTAGTCACCTATGCGATTTTTCCTCAGTGTGTTTGTTCCTGTCTAGGTGGCGCACCCGAGATATCCACGGTGATCAATTCCGACAATCTAAGTCGTCCTCGAAACCCGATACTGTGCCACCTCGAGACAAGAATGGAGCTACTCGTTACATCCAGCACCTACCTTTCCAAGTTTTCTGCTGCGAGGCCGGCACTCACGTCGTAGACCCCGCTCAATCCTACTACAAAGGTCTGAAATATCGTTACGGCACAGACTTCCACAACTCCTCTTCCTCAGATGTACCTCAGCGCCCTCCGGATGCTTCTTGTTTGGATAGTACTCAGGCGTGGTTCTGTAGGGACCTTTGGGTCACTAAAGCGTTGGAGGGTGTCCAGGATGACGAGGTACTTGACCCCGCTCTGCGTGATACGAAATCTGCGCCAGATGCTCGGGCGAGATATCGCCGGCAGATCCCAAACCCACCAATGGACTCCGACGCCAACGCAGGGTCAGATTTCGACGCCATGCCAGATTCTGACCTTCCTCTTGGTGTGCTCCCAGCTGTCCGATTGACTGTGCCAAACTCGGTGTACACGCCAGCCCGCATTCTGATCAACCCACGCTGTGTGACAACGTACGCCGGTGTGAGCCACACTCAGCTGGCTTTAGACCTTTTTGGGACCAATGATGATGATGAAATGCAAGGGAATGCAACCAAGAATGTCCTTGACGATTGGGAAGGTGCTCCTGAGAGCTTCGTCTGTCAAGAACAACGGTATGCTCACTTACCTTGCTCCAACCTAACAACGTTGACTCACTTGCATTCTTAGTCAAACTGGAGGTCGAGTTGCTGCGAAAACTCAACGTTTGCTCGGGTTTTCTATTCACGATGAATTGTCTGCGAGAACTCCATAGCGATTTCTTTGCCGTGTTTCACACACATGTACTGTAGGTGCCAGGAGATAGTGTAGCGCCTCTTTATACACTCACGATCATTACCGTACTTTCCTCTTCTTTCCGAATCCTTTGAAAGCAACACCATCATCTGAGTCGTCGTCTGCAATGATATGCCGTCGTTTACTCCCTCTGGCAGGCAGGGTCGGTCTAGGATCATCTTTCGTGGTCTGTGACATCTCCTCGTCGGAATCCAAGAAGAGTTGCTTCGCGGCAACGGGTCGTTGCAGTTGGGGGGCTTTGTAAGCTGTTCGTCTAGTTATCTTTGAAGCTGGTGGGTCAATAACTTCTTCGTCATCCGATTCTAGGAGTGCTCGCCGCTTTTGAGTACCCGTCGCTGTCTGAGTAGGGGGCAAAGTGGTGTAATCCTTTGCAGTCTGGCTATCCTTCCAGTAACCTGATATGGCGTCAGAGATGTCCATAGAAAGAGCGTTAGAGTATACCTGAGCCCACTCCATAGTCGTTCTCGCTTTTGACCACAAGCTCGATCGGAGCTCGCGAGGAAAGAGTTGGTGTCTGGAAAGGTGTTCGGAAGACAGGTGCACAGGATTCGATGACGCCCACCTTCTTAAACTTCTTGTAGTTTGGCCGACTGTCGCGACTACGTATCGCAACAGTTGTACGAGAACAAGATTCTCGAAAGACATCCATGTCGATCACCACCATAAAATTCCCCCGTACATTCCTCACGTCGGTGTCGAAATCTCCCAAAATCTCCCATTGTTCCGCTTCCTCACGTTGAACATCCGGTTTTGAGATGCGAAGGTTGTTAAATTCTCGATCGAATTCATCCTCGGTCTTCTTGCTTCGCTTCTTTGATGCAAGAGCAGTCAGGAAAGCCTGGTCAGTATCGACCGGATTACTTTGACCGGAACCCGCCTTCTTTTGCTTTGAACGGGTTTTTCCTCCTGGGTCAGGTCCCACATGATGCTCTTGGGGCTCTTGCGGTGCAGACTCTGAGGTGAGACGGTGTGCTGAGTCCCCAGAATGACACTGGTCGTCTGGGACTAACATGGGCGTCGTGGGTGCAACTTGTGAACGACCACTTTCCTCTTCTTCCTCTGCTACGACTTGTAGTCTGCGTGGGCGCATGGCTGTTTGCGAACGCAGGGGTCGCGACTCGTTCTGTGTAAGACTCTCACTGCCCTGGGTGACACCGATGGATCCCCCCATATCGGTGTCGTAAGCTGCTTGAAGACTGCTCGGACCTTCGACAACCATCTTATCCGGATCGCTAGCATCGAAGAGTGCTTTGAACTTCTTCAAGGGTGGTTCCTGGCTTGTTTCGTTTCCGGCAGCTGGTTCCTCGGGCGGTGTAGGGGCAGCGGTAGCAGCTCTTCGCTTCAGCTTAGTCGATCGCGCTGGAGGGAGCTAAGATGTCATGAGAATGTAGATATAAGCCAGTGGATAAGATTGACACACAGGGGGCAGAGTGAATGCCAAATTGTCCGCCTGGGTCTCATTGCTGATCTTTGGTGGGGCAGGCTCCTCTTTGTTACTCGTTGTAGACAAAGGTTTAGTGGGGCGAACGAGGGTCTTTAATGAGTCAGCCCAAACACGAAGGCAAGTTAATCTGCATACCTTGCGGGGTGGAGGAGGTATCGGCGGCCCAGGGATCGCGGGAGAAGGTGAGGGAGAAGGTGATTTGAGACCAACGCCCTCTCGTTCCTTAGGAAATGCCTGCCTCCCTGCAACAATTGGCAAGGACGGTTCATCGGGATGTGTAATTGGGATGAAGTCTGGAAGAGGAGAATCGTTCCCAGACGACGACGCTGAGGAAGTGGCAGTTAGGATAAGCCGATGAAGACTGGGGTCAGATCACCTTGAGTCACGGAGCTGACCATGATCAGCGAGGCGTCAACCTTAATCACAGCATTCAGAACAGTATCCACATTGACGATGGCCAAATTAAGACTTCAGACCTAAAGTCAACATCACAGATATAGTAGTGCCTGAACAAATTCACATACCTCTGAGCATCAGCAGCCATCTCCCGCCACTTGTCTGGGCCAACAGTAGATTGGATAACCTGCTCGCGAGCGACGATGACGACCTTCAACCCCACCTCTTCTACTTTCCTCTTTGCTTTGGCAAGCATCTGTGTCCATTTTGCTTGACCGACCTTCATGGGGAAGCCCTCATACTCGCCATCACCACGAATGACCAGCTCTCTTATCTCGGGGTCGACTTCTCCCTCTGAGTCCCCTAGTAGAACGAATCGATAACCCTTCAAGAGATGGAGTCTCTCCTCATTTGGTTCCCAGAATTTGAAGGATTTCACCGAAGGTGGCAACGCGGGAGAAAAACCCGGTCTATATTTGCTCTCTAACGGGGGGTTGAAAACCTGCTCTAAAGGTGATGATTTGAACGGATGGGTGTCATCTGGTGTGCTTCCAAGGCGAATAAGCTCATGCAACCATTCCGTTTTGACAAGTTGTGTGGCTGAAAGGAGGGAAGTGGTCAATGGGATTGTGAGTTCGTACTTGGGAGTGAGATGATGTGTCGCAAGCGCGCTTGGGGAGGTTAGCAGGCATATTCCTTGAAAATCTTGTCAGGGGACCAGAACATTTGTGATAAAATAGCATTCACCCATTGCGATACAGTCTTCGTTCGATATGGGTGGCAACGCCCGCGAGGGTGGAAGGAAACAAGCAATGCGCCGCCAGTGTACCCTGTCATACGAAGTCAGAGCGACAGCAGTTTGAATTGTGGAGCAAGGGCGAACTCAATAGATATCCCAACTACTATGTGTATCTTATCTCCAGACTTGAGCTCGCGTGAACAAGAGTGGTTCACGACCGATAATTCACCATCTCGCTCAATGGTTTGAGTGGATTTCTCCTTGGTGTTGTATATCTCTAGCGTCGGGACGAAGGATGGATTGACCTGACACGTGCGTTTAGGAAGGCGGCGCAACATCCACTTGCGAATGCACATACCATATCATCTGGTGTATAAGGACCCACTTTGAACTCGCAGTGGTCGCGTGATA